TGCTCAACTTCACCGATCATCAGGGAAAAGCAAATTGAAACCCCAATGCTACACTGTTATATACCTCACTCTCACCACCAGAATGAATAACATGACTGCAAATACCAAGTAAAGGCAGGTGAAATGAATCTATGTCATTAGAAGTTGAATGGTGGTAGCCTTAGGCAGAGAAGTGGGTAGACATCTGATGAACAACTTCAATCCTCATGACAACTCTACAAAATGGTGGTGTCTGTGGCAATAACAATAGTGATGGTGGTGGTGGTAGTGATAGTGGTAGTGGTAGCAGCAGTGATGGTGATGGTGCTTGTCCGAGGATGGCAGTAATGATGGTGGTGGTGGTGGTGGTAGTGATGGTGGTGACAGGGGTGATGGTGGCAGCGGTAATGGTGGTGGTTGTGGTGGTTCTAGTAGTGATGGTGATGATGGCGGTGGTTGTGTTGATGATGAGGTGATTGTGGTGGTGGCAATGGTGATAGTGATTATGGTGGTGGCGATGATGATGGTGATGGTGATGGTGGTAGTGGTAGCAGTGATGGCAGTGGTTATGGTAGTGGTGGTGGTGGTGGTGATGGTGGTGATGGTGGCAGTGGTGAGGGTAGTGGTTGTGTTGATAGTGGTAGTGGTAGTGGTGGGAGTTGGGGTAGTGTTTGTGGTGGCGGTGGTGGTCGTGGCAGTGGTGACGGGTGGTTGTGGTGGTTATAGTGGTGATGGTGGTTTTGGTGGTCACAGTGGAGAGAGTTGGTGGTTGTGGTGTAGTGGTAGTGAGGGTAGTGATGATGATGGTGATAAGTGGTAGTGATGGTGATGGTGATGGTGGTGGTGATGGTGATAAGTGGTAGTGATGGTGACAGTGGTGGTGATAAAGGTAGTGACAGTGATTGTAGTGATGGTGGTGGTGATGGTGATAGTGGTGGTGATGGTGGTGGTGATGGTGGTGGTGGTGGTGATGGTGATGGTGATAGTGGTAGTGATGGTGATAATGGTAGTGACAGTGATGGTAGTGATGGTAGTGGTGATGGTGATAGTGGTAGTGATGGTGATGGTGATAGTGGTAGTGATGGTGATGGTGATGGTGACAATGGTAGTGACAGTGATGGTAGTGATGGTAGTGGTGATGGTGACAGTGGTAGTGATGGTGATAGTGGTAGTCATGGTGAGATGATAGTGATGATGGTGGTGACAATGACAGTGGTAGTGATGGTGGTGGTGGTGATGGCAGTGGTGGTGGTGACAGTGACAGTGGTAGTGGTAGTGATGGTGCTAGTGGTAGTGATGGTGGTGGTGGTGGTGATGGTGATAGTGGTAGTGATGGTGACGGTGGTGGTGATAATGGTAGTGACAGTGATGGTAGTGATGGTAGTGATGGTAGTGGTGATGGTGATAGTGGTAGTGATGGTGATGGTGACAGTGGTGGTGATGGTGGTGATGATAGTGATGATGGTGGTGACAATGACAGTGGTAGTGATGGTGGTGGTGGTGATGGCAGTGGTGGTGGTGACAGTGACAGTGGTAGTGGTAGTGATGGTGCTAGTGGTAGTGATGGTGATGGTGGTAGTGATGGTGATAGTGGTAGTGATGGTGATGGTGGTGGTGATAATGGTAGTGACAGTGATGGTAGTGATGGTGATGGTAGTGACAGTGATGGTAGTGGTGATGGTGGTAGTGATGGTGATGGTGGTGGTGGTAGTGATGGTGGTGGTGACAATGACAATGGTAGTGATGGTGATGGTGATGGTGGTGGTGATAATGGTTGTGACAGTGATGGTAGTGATAATGGTGATGGTGGTGATGATAATGATAGTGGTGGTGGCAATGATAGTAGTAGTGATGGTGGTGGTGGCAGTGGTGATACTGGTGGTTGTGGTGGCAGTAGTGGCAACAGTAGCAGTACATTAGTTCATTTTGCACTGCTATAAAGGAATACCCGAGGCTGGCTAATTTACAGGGAGAAGAGGTTTTATTTGGGCCCACAATTCCACATCCTATACAAACATGGTACTGGCCTCTGCTTCTGGTGAGGGCCTGAGGAAGCTTCCATGGCAGAGGGCAAAGCGGGAGCAGGAGGTCACACAGTGAGGGAGGAGAGGGGAGGAGGCACCAGTACTAATGAGAACTAACAGAGTGAGAACTCATTCATTCCCATGAGACGAGTACCCAGCCATTCATGAGAGATCCCACCCCCATGACCCAAAACCTCCCACCAGGCCCCCCGCTAACACTGGGGATGATATTTCAACATGAGAGGTGGAGGGGACACACACCTAAACCACAGCAAGTGGTAACTTGTGTGAGAACAAATCCGAGTGCTTATGCGCCAAGCACTGTCCCAAGCGCTTCACACATATTATCTCATTTAATTCTCAGTTAAATCAATGAGATGTAGGTACCATTCTTAGTGTTATTTTACAGAACAGCAGAGCCAGACGGTGCCCTCCCCAGAGGTCTAGGTGCCCCGAACTCAGAGACTCCAGCACCGGAGCCAGGCCACTCCTCTGAGGTCTCAGTTGCCACTCCTGGGTACTTCTTCTCAACTTCTAGGCCACACTAGTCCAACCTATTCACAGGCTGCCCCAGCCCAGGGCAGGAGCTGCCTCCCTCCTCACACCTCTTGTTGCTTTACATTATCGTTGCCTCTCAAACGCTTCGCACTTGTCGGCCATTGTTCATAGTGATTCTTTCTGTTCCGGCGTGGCCTGTCTCCTGCCTGGACTCGGAAAGACACAAGGAGGGACACAGCCCCGACAGCTGTGATCCAGCTTGGCTTGGGCTGCTATGCCACTAGTTCCCTTATCCCAGAGGCAGTCCGCCTGTGTTTTTATTGTTGAAAATGCAGGTGAGGCTTGCAGTGAAGGCTTTCACACACAGGTTCTGTGATCAGTGAGATCCACCGCCTCCTTCCCCTCCCACCCCTGGCCTCCCCACTCTTGGCCAAAGACCTGGCACAGAAAAGGTAACCCCTCTGCATTCCCGCTGCTCTAGGCGCCTGCCCAGGCCCCTCTGTCTGGTTTTCATTGTTGGGGTACTTTTGGGTGCTGTGTTGCCTACTCTCGGGGAACAGCTTTTCCTTAGTCCTCCCAGAGTCCCACTTCCACTCTCGCCCTCCCTCTAACCCAACTTCCACGACACTTGTAGCCGATGCTTTGTTGTGTGGGGTTGAAATGATTTCCTTGTTTCACAGGGAATGGTTTTATTTTCACTGTTTCTTCATACTTTGTTGTTCGGGGGAGATTTCAAGAGAAAGAGTAGAATAAAAATGCTACTCTTCTGCCATCTTTGTGCAGAAACCATGCCAAGTTAACAACTTCCAGCAGGTTCTATACTGGGCCCTGGCTTCCCAGGGGATGGGACCACCTCACTGTGACCTCCTTAGGGCTGAAGCAAAGCCTCAGATGAGTGCAAGAACCACTCCTCGGGGGCAAGGTAGTAAGATGAACACATCAGACTTGCATTTTTAATAACTATTTAGCATATAACAATTTGCCACTTATGGCCTCGCTCAATAAAAAATATACTTGTTATTCCATGTTGTGTGACTAGCACTGAAAGGAAAAAGGAAAAAAAATCCCACCAAAAAGGGAAGGATTCAAGACAAGAAAAAATAAAATGAATGTGCACCGAGAAGCTACAGGGTTCCTGCTCCACCCCCACTCCCTGCTCTAGGCACACCTGGCCCTCCTGAGCAAGAACACAAGGTGAGCTGCCCCACGGCTCCAGTCCCATGACCAACCACACAAATCACTAAAGGACAGGCCTGGGTCACTCCCCAGGGCAAGGCTCCTTCCAGGGCAGACACGGACCCACCGGGAGAATGGGTTAGACAATGCAGATGCAAAGCTTCATGCTTTACTTCCTACAGACACAGATTTCTATCAAAATCAGTGGAAGAAATACGGGAATACAAGACACCCTGAAATTCTCCAGAGTGGTACAAGCCCAAATTCACCCTTTCTTACACACTCCAAACTCATCCTCTCATGACATAATTCTTTGCCTGCAAATTCTCCCAAGCTCAGCCCTGGGCCTTCCCTCAAGCTGGAACTAACCAGAGGGTCTGTGGCTCTACCCCTAATAAACTTGGTTTTTCACATTAGAATGTCATTAGCATGGGGAGGGAGCCCTCTGCCAGGAAGTAACGTGCAATTAGTACATCCTCTACTGGAAGCTTAACCAGAACCAGTCAAACTCCCATTGTACGCCTGGTTCATCTCACCCATACGTCAGAAGCACGTAAAACACCCCCAAAAGCCTGCTGACTTGCTTTCTCTTTTTCAACCTCTGTCTGGTCTCACTAGTCTACAATTTCTCTCACTGTATTACATTACCCAGTTTTATCTCCACATATTACTCTTGATACCTTTCCCTCCTCCTATACAATACACTCCCCCTTTGATCAATGCACTCACTAGCCTCTGACACACCAGGTGTCCTGCCAACCACAACCTCCCTAGTTCAGTCTTGTAATGTATGTGCTAAATACTACCTCCCCTATTTATCCCAGAGGAAATCGAGGCACAGTAGTAACAGTTCCCCAAGGGCAAATAGCTAAGCTAGTAAATGGTGAAGTCCTAATTTCAACACAGGTCCCCTGACCCCAAACTACATGAGCTGGATGCATTACGGGTGGGATCCCAAACAGACTCCTTCCGGGCCTGCTAATGCTTCTCTCCCATTCATTGAAGAAATAGTTCTGCTGAGTAGCTGATGGATGTTGAGGCCTGGGAAAGGGCACTGGGGATACAGAGGTGTGTGCTTGGTCCTGCTGTCCGCTGCTGAGTGTCTTTCATGAAGAACCGGTTTCCCACTGTCATGACGGCACCAAGCCTCCCCGAGGCTCCTGCACTCAAGCTCTCAGCCTGTAAGCCCTCGCCTGACTTCTACTGACTTTCACTGAATCCACAAAGAAGCTTTTAGAATCTCTGGAAACGAAGTATTTAAAGTATCTCGTCTACAAGTAAACAATACAAATATTCCCAGGGTCAAAGCTGCTTACTACCTACCTTTAGTGGTGAGAACTTTCGAGGTGACCTCCAGTTTCTCCAGTGGTTCCATTCCAATATTTTCCAACTTAATGATTAGTTGTTGACTTTCTCCATTGTAAAGCTGGACAGATACATTAGTAGATATTTCATCACCAGAAGAAGGTTGCAATGAATGTGCAGATCTAAAATAATAAGAAGAAATTTAAAGAAGAAATAAGGAAGAAGCCAAGGCCATTTTAGAATTACTCACATCAGGCAGAAAAATCGCCATACTCATGCATTTCAGAAACAGAGACTAGGAAATCTTGGCTTCACACATGGAGTTCAGTACCCAGCTATCAGGAATGGAAAGTGAGCCGCCACATGCCTCATGCTTTCCTCATGAGACACGTCCAGGTCTTTGTGTGTCATAAACATGAACACCCTCACTCAGCGTTCATTTCTCATGCGTATGTGAAGCATAAAAATACTTAATTACTAAGTTATGGAGGATAAAAATTAAACAATGAATTGATTCAAATAAACCATGAGGGCATTGTTCTCTCAAAATCTAAAAAATGTCATGCTTAGAAGTGCCTTGGGAAAATCCACAGATTTAAGAGGAAAACGTATACCAACCATTCCAGCTGATAACATGAGAGCTGAGGTCAAAGAGAAACGAGAAGCTGTCCCACAGAACCCTTCCTACAGGTACAAACTGTGAGGAATGCCCACCAACACCTGGTGTCACACAAGGGCAGCTGGGCCAGGCCCTGGGGTCAGGCAGTATCTGTGGGGCTCCATCCTCACACCAGTCAGGTGAGGCCCTGGACTACAGGACAGGCCAATGCAGCCAAGCCAGACGAACGTGCAGCGCAGAGGCCAGGGCCTCCCTGAGGCTCCTGCACTCAAGCTGTCAGCCTGTAAGCCCTCGCCTGACTTCTACTGACTTTAGCTGAATCCACAACGTTAACTGTCCTGGTTGTGTCCTTCCCACCCCACAGGCTGCAAACAGTGGGTTGGGAAGGAGGTCACTGGTGATCACAGAGAAAATATATCTGGTAGCACAATGGGGACAAATACCAGTGGACGACAAATAGAGGCACGTGACAGGTGAGGTTAAACACACACATGGCTCCCTGGAGAATTCTGGCCACAAAACAAAGGGGCAGCCAGAGGAGGTGGCTAGAGCGGGGAGGCCGACATGTTCTCCTGGGGCCTGAAGGTTTCCTGAGTACCCCACTACCTTCTTCCTGTCCCTGAAGGATTTCCACAGAGACACACAATTAGTCCAACATACTTGAGCCAACATTGTGTGCTTAGTGCAACGAGAAATGGCTCATGAAGTCAACTAAGCGGACTGCGGACCACCCCACCCCGGACACTCTCCAGCAGTCTTTCCCATGCCCAGCTCCTCCCGGCCCTGCTCCCGGTCACAGCGCACAGGATCGGAGTTGGATCTGCTTCCCATGCCATGGGAGCACTTGGTGTCACACACTACTTGGTCCGAAGGACAGAAAAGAATGTTCCAGACTCACATCTCTGCCATTCAAGGGAAGAAATGCTGCTTAACACAAGCCAAGCTCATAGCGCTGGGCACGTGTTCCCTGGGGACTTCCAGATGTAGACTCTGACAGAGGAGCTTCTGCGTCCAAACCAAATCTTGGTGAAATAATTGCATCATAAATCAAGGTGAGCTCCTTGGAATTTAAGTATCTTTAATGTTCATGAGTCAAGAAATAAACTTCCTCTGTCAAGGAAGGAAAATTGGATTTGTGTCCTTGCCATAAAGGGCTTCTTCCCATCTTTTAGCAGGCAGCCTTTCTCAAGCAAAAGTTTGTAGTCAATATGGATTTGCAGAGAAGGTATCAGGAAAAAAATAAAACATGGCCAAGACTCAGGATTTTGTGTCTCAAACAACAGGATTTTGAGACAAAACAAAACAATGCTTGACCGGAAAGTCACAGGGCCTGCGCCTGACACAGGCCCTGACGGTCCCAGCTGCAGCGTCCCAGTTGTCACGAGCAGTGGAGCTTGGGTGGGACTCAGGCTGGCACTGAAAAGGAGGTGAGTCCTAAACAGCCCATGGCACTAAAGACATGGCAGCAGGGACCCCACTCCAGCCAAGGTCAGGCCCCCAGGGAGGGGCTGCAGAGGTTGGGCAAAGGTCAGGTCCAGTCTCCTAGGAGGAGATGGGGACCAGGAGCTTCTTGGCAGAGAGAAACTCCAATGTGGGACTATGGGCAAACTGTGGGAGGTAGGAGTAAGGTCTATGCCAACGAGACTCTCTTGTTTAAGGAGATGGCCCCTAATATGTGGTCTGTGTTAGATGAGTCAGCCCCTGGGTCTGAGCAGCAGAGGAAACTGCAAGGGGGAATCACCAGTGTCTGAAGCTTGGCACGCCTGTGTCCCCCGAGCACTCTGTGGGCTCAGCTGCCCTTCCTGTAGCTCTAGCCCTCCCCACTCCTGCACTGGACCAAAAGTTTTTTCAAGACAGGGACAATTTTTTTTTTTTTTTTTTAGATAGTCTCGCTCTGTCACTCATGCTGGAGCGCAGTGGTGCAATCTCCACTCATTGCAACCTCCACCTCCCAGGTTCAAGCAATTCTCCTGCCTCAGCCTCCCAAGTAGCTAGGATTACAGGCTCATGCCACCAGGCCCAGCTAATTTTTTTGTATTTTTAGTAGAGATGGAATTTGGCCATGTTGGCCAGGCTGGTCTCGAACTCCTGACCTCAGGTGATCCGCCTGCCTCAGCCTCCCAAAGTGCTAGGATTACAGGCGTGAGCCACCGTGCCCGGCCATGACAGTATTTTTATCTCTGCATTATCAGCTCCTACCTAGCCAGGTACCTGGCACACAGCAGGTACTCACTAAGTATGTATTGAACAAATTAATAAGCATCTCAAACTTGAACCACTGTGCGACACAGAAAAGCACCCTAGCAGTAATCAAAATGGGCCTGGGACAGAGTGGCCTGCTGCACACTTCACGGCTGCCTCCCGGTGAGCCTCACCCTGTGCAGTGGTCTCTGCATGGCTTCCTGGCCATGGAGAAGGCGGGACAATGCATTTCCACAGGAGACACCATCAGGCCACCTGCTCCTGACCTCGGCCCTCGTCACTGTCAGTGCTCAAGGCACCACTCCCGCCAGGCTCCATCTGGGCACCTCCGACTCCCACCCTGGAATGCTCTCTGCCGCGTCCCACCCACTGCTTACCGGCTCTGCTCCTCTGCGTGTCTCCTCGGCAGAGGCCTTTCCTGAGAAGCTCCCTGCAAAGCAGGCCTCACCATCTGACGCTGCTTCGCAAAGTGACCTGCCTTCTGTCTCTCAAGGCCTGCCTCTTCTGGACATCTCATCTCATCTCATCTGACCCGCTGTGTTTTCGTCACAGCACCAAATTCTCCTGCACCACGGTCTGTATTTGTTGGATTGGTTGACTCGTTGCTCCCTCTGCGTTTTCTTCCACGCTTGATTATCTGCCCAAGTGTTGTGGGTCTTGTCAGGCTCAGTAGAATACCACATCTTCTATGAAGCCTTCCGAACCCCAAAGACAGGGGCAACCTCTGCTTTGTTTTTATATGACAGGGTCAGTCAGCAAATTCGACTCTAGTTAGTACCTCCTTCCAGACTGTGAACTCATACAAGGGGAGCAGCCTAGGTCGAGGGCATTTTTTATTCATTGCATTTTTTATTAATTGCTAGTCCTATAGCACAGGGCCTAAAGCACATGGTAGGTGTCGATAAATGTTTGTGAGTAAATTTAATGAATAAGTCACTGGAATGTTCATATTAGATTAATAACAATCAAAACTCAAAGAATAATCACATTTTATTTCAGGAAGTCACCTTAGAAAAATATATACATTATATACAATTTTTTAAAATAAGAAACAAAAAACAAACATTTTAACTCCAAATCGGTTCCACTGGACCCTCTCCTCCAGCCCCTGGTCCTCAGCAGGACCTGCTGGGATCCACATTCCTCCCTAGGGCCCAGGCTCAGTGCCGTGGTGGCCGCCCACAGCGGCACATCTTCTTGTTGAGAGGTAGCAGGTACCAGAGCATGCATGCACCCCCGTCACAGCGCATCCACGGGACAATAAAAATGGGGGGTCAGAGGCATTATCTTTGGAAACGATTCTAAACACAGGAGAAAAATGTGGGGTGGGCAAAGAGAAGCAGCTAGAGGACCTGCTTTATTCACTGCCTTTTACAGCTGGCAGGGACCTTCGGGGAGGCCTTATTAGCAGGACAAATGACAAAGTTAAAGTACCTCTTCTCAAGTTATTTTTCCCTTTTGGTAATAGCTGCCCTTAGCATTTCTTCGCCTTAAGCCACCCCCTGCCCTTTTGCTGGAGCGCTGGCTGGGGCTCGCTAAGCTGGAGCCGGAGCCGCGATCTCCTTTATGAGCTCTCGGGGCTCACCTCCAGCTTTTGTTGGGCGGCTGGTGCTCTGTACAGGCCTGTACGCACGTGCCATGAAACTGTAGCTGAAGCTGCTGTCCTTCCTAGCCTAGCGCCCACTGGCTGCCACAGTTCGACGGACAGCAGTGGCAGAATTCAGCAGCCAAAGCCAGAGCTGGGAGTCTGCGTGTCTGGCTGTTCAAGCTAATGGGCTCAGAAGTGTCCAGGCCCGGGAAGTCCTGGTGGCAGGCTCAGCGGAAATCATGTGTCCATCCAACACTGAAGTCTTGCCAAAATTCATCTTTCTAAACAGTGTGTGGAGGTATAAAATCCACCTAGCTTAAGTATGCAATGCAATCATTTTTGGTAAATTTACAAATCACTGATACCCAGTGTTTTTTCGTTTTGTTTTGTTTTGTTTTTGTTTTGAGACGAAGTCTCACTCTTTGTCCCCCAGGCTGGAGTGCAGTGGTGCGATCTCGGCTTTCTGCAACCTCTGCCTCCCAGGTTCAAGTGATTCTCCTGCCTCAGCCTCCCAAGTAGGTGGGATTACAGGCGCCTGCAACCACACCCAGCTAATTTTTGTATTTTTTTAGTAGAGACGGGGTTTCACCATGTTGGCCAGGCTGGTCTCGAACTCCTGACCTCAGGTGATCCGCCGGCCTCGGCCTCCCAAAGTGCTGGGATTACAGGCGTGAGCCACAGGGCCCGGCCTGATACCCAGTTTTAAAACACTTGCAGCACCCCAAAGAGATTCCACAGGAGTACTTCCAATCAGTTTAGTCCCCACACCACTGGCAGCCTCAGGCAGCCGCTGAGCTGTGTCCTGCCACTAGAGACCTGCTTTCTGGATGTTTCACATCACAGGACTCACGCTCTGCGCCTCTCGCATCTGGCTTCTTGCACTCAGCAACTCGCCTCTGAGGCTGGTCTGCACTGGGGCGCGTGCTCCTTGGTCCCTTCATTGCAGAGTGGTGTTCCACTGCAGGGACGCACCGCATTCTGCTGACCATTCACCAGCTGACGGCCATCTGGGCCCTTT